CTGGGAAATAGAAAGGAAGGAAGAAAGGAAGGCTCTTGAGAAGGAGGAGGGGCCTGGAAAGAAATGGAGGTCCTGGGGAGAAATGGGAGTCCTGGCAAGTAGGAGGGCCCCTGAGAGCAACCTATTTATTCCTCATGCACTGACCTTTGCCCATCCAGAATGCAGGCAAGAGTGAGTTCCAGGAGCACTGAGTAGCAGTGGAGGCAGTCTGTGTGTTGTCCATGTGAGCTGGGAGTTGGTGAGGGTGATGTACGTTAAGTAGATTGTGTATAAGGTCTTGAATGTGGGTTCTGGAGGGATCTTGAGATGGTTCACTGGGGGAGTGGAGTTTATTTGAAGAGTTATTAATGTATGGACAGACAGAAAACAGTATTGCATGGACTCTGAGGAGAGCTCAGGCCCCAATACCAGAGAAAAACAGCATGGTGGGCCTGAACAGACCACAGTACCTTCTGCAGTCCTCTCACAGATACCTATAAGCACTCTACTGAGACACGGTCTGATTTCCTAGTTAACAGACTCCCAGGTGTCAGGATCTCATCTAGGAAGTGATACATCAAAGGTCATTGGAGGCCACATATCCTTCTTCCCACATTCCCTGCCTCCTGCATGGGAATCAGACAGCTTGACTACAAATGTGTAAGAGACCCAGGGTCCGGAAAAATGGCTCAGTGCTTAAGAGCATTTGCTGCTCTTCCAGAACCTGGGAACCGGGCTCAGCTCCCAGTACCCACATGGTGGCTCACAATCACTTGTAACTTCCATTTCCAGGGGATCCAACACCCTCTTCTGGTCTTTGAGGGCATGAGCATGCATATAATGCACATAATGCCTGCAGACAACAAAACACTCACACCTATAAAATAAAAGCATCTCTAGAGGAGGAGGCCCTCACTTCTGTATTGCGTGCATCCTAGTGGAGAGTGAGCACATACGTGCGTTGCTGCTTTAACAGGTAGCCTGCATGTGCTAGACATCACACATTGGCTTAAGGAATCTTCATTTTTGATTGGGCTGCCTATATGAAATAAGGAAGCCCTGCAGGCAAATGCTGCATTCAAGTAATTTGTTAGTTTTCCAGCCACTCTTTTTCCCTCGACACTGCCCTCCTTGGGAGTGATGCCCAGGTTGGCTGGGTGTTTAAGGTTCTCTTGCTTCTGAACTGTGTGTTTTGGTTGTGTTACTGAGAGGTGGGCGCAGGAGAGGCTGGCGGGAGCCACAGCAGACTCCCTGCAGTAATGTGTGAGAGAAGGGTGAACGTGAGCCAGTCTTGATTCCCAGACTGAAGCTACCACCTCCTGCAGAAGGTTTTCCTGGGTGTCTGTTTGTCTTGCTATCACCTGGAGCTCAGCACTTTTGAATTTTTAGTTTTTTAAATTTATATTTATATACTTATTGTGGGATGGGGGCATGTGTGGAAGCTAGAACACAACTTCTGTGGAAGTAAGTTCTCTTCTTCCACCCTGTGGGTCCCAGAGATTGAACTCAGGTCATCAGGATTGACAGTAACTGTCTTTACCCACTGAACCATCCTCCTGGCTCCACTTCTCATTAAAACAAAACAAAACAAGGCAACCCAAATAATTCAAAACCTTAACATTTTCATGTGTGTGCTCCGTGTGTATTGGTCTCTGGTGAGGCCAGAGAGGGCATCAGCTCTCTTGGAGCTGGACTAACAGACAGATGTGAGTGCTGTGAATTGAACTTGGGTCCTCAGGAAGAGCAGCAGGCCCTCTTCACTGCAGAGCAACTCTCCACTCCTCCACCCCCATTCTCATTATTCTGTGCAGAATGTGCGGCTTTTATTCTGTGCCAGAGTTCGGGTCCAGTTCCCAGCCTCTGCCCACCAGGGAAGCTGCTATGGGCACTTTGCTCCCTCATAGCCCCATGAGCAGCTGCTTTCCTGAGTGGAGGAGAGGCCAGAGAAACTGCAGGCTCTAGGTTCTCACTGGTTTCTGTTCCCTCGGTGTACTTGGTCCTGACCTCCACACCTGGTGGCAGCCTCACCTTTCCCAGCTGTTGGTAGGAGCGTGGCGTTAGGATGGGTGATGGCCGCTTGTCTAGAGGGTATTCCTACCTAGGGCTCCAGGGTGTTTATTTCAGAAAGACCCTGAGGTGGTTCAGTGAGGGCAGGTGAGACCTAGGGAGTTCCCTTCCTTCAGGCTGGTTCCTTCCAGACTTACTCCATTTCCTAGTCTCTCATCCTAGTCACCTTGAGGTCTTGGTAGTGACAGCAGTCACAGGGCTTTGTGAGGATTCTTTATCTCCTTTTACTTTCTGGTGTTCCAGGATATCTCTTTTTCCTCTTTATTTTTTTTAAAGGGAAGTTGAATCAGATTTGAGATGGTGTCGTGTTAGGCTTGAGGTCCATAAAAGGCCTCTGAAGACTTACTTTGTTTTTGAGACAGTTTTACTATGCATCCATGACTGACTTGAAATTCCCTGTAGGTCCAGGTAGGCCTCAGACTCAGGGCAGTCTCCCTGCCTCATCCTCCTGGGCTGAGATCACAGGATTGCAGGTACAGGCCACTGTGTCTGGCCAGAGAGGTTCTTAGCATCCTTCCCTTAGCTTTTCCAGAACTGGCCTCTGTGTTTGTCCTTTCCTGCCTGGGGACCCAGCAGTTTTGTGAGTCTCCTTGACAACAGGAGAGATAAGTTAAAAATAACTTTGTGCTGGGCCTTTCCTGGTGCTTGGCTCAGTTCCTGGGGCGTCTAGATGCTCCTAGAGAGGCTTACAGCGGGATGGACACACACACACACACACACACACACACACGGATGGACAGACAGACGGACGGGACAGGGACTAACATTTTGAAGCCCCGAGGTTTAGGAGTCAGAACTAGATGACCATCCTTGTTATCTTGTCTTACTTACAGGTGGTTGGTTGATAGTATGGTGTAGATTGGAAATTAATGTTGGTGCCAGGTCTTCACTTTCTCTGACTGAGAGGACCAATCATGGAGGTGTTAGTGTGTCTCTGTGACAGTGGAATAGGACACAGCTCTGGTGGAATTTGCTTCTCTCTCTTCAGGGAATCCCTATACTCGAGTAGAGGATATAGATCCGTGGTAGTTAGGTAGTATGCCTGCCTAGCATGTGCAAGGTCCTAGGTTTAATCTCCAGTACTGTAAAGCAAAGCAAACAACACACAAAAAGGAATTCCTAAAGGATTCTGAGCCATCTGTGTCAGTAGTGACACAAGCTGTGATTTCTCCTCCCTGGGTATGCTGTGTCTGTAGTGACACAAGCTGTGACTTCTCCTCCCTGGGTATGCTGTGTCTATAGGTCCTTTACCAGAGCCAGCAGATGTCTTTTATGTCTTCAGTCCAGGCTAGCCAAAGCCCTCCATGTCAGGGTTTATCAGTTGTAAACTGACTTAGCTGTGGCCATCTTTCTTTGGGCAGCGACTGGGTCTCTGTCACACCTGGGATTAATCCCCCCTCCTCCGTCCACCCTGGGCTAGGCATGAGTAGGCATGAGGAAATGAGAACAAGATGTCATGGTCCAGTCTTTAGAAGTTGCCTGGGAAACCGTTTTATAAAAGAGCCCTTGCTGTGAGCAGAGGGAACAGAGGGAAGGTCCCAGGGTGGAGAGAGCATGAGGCTGAGGGAGAGAAAATGTCTATGACACAGAGTTCTTAAATAAGAGATACATTTAGATAAATCCCACAGACGAGTAAGACAGAAGAAAAAACTTACAGCTTGACAAACATTTCACAAAAGATACTACAACAGTCAATAATTGTGAAATTAAGCATGGGAGAGATTAAAATTTAACTTTTAAAAAGTGATGGTTAAAAAAAGTGATGGTTTTTGTGTCACATTTCACAAAGTTTTGAAGATGTGATAAAATGTCATTTTTAGTTTATTTTGTTCTGAATTTCTTGGTGAAGAATAAAATGAATTCCAGACTGAAAGAAAATGTAGTGGGGTGAGCACGTTGAAGTTAGAAGTGGATTAGCATGGGATATTGGGCTAAATAAACCCTTAGCTTCCCAGAACCGGTTTGTTTGTAGACAGGGCCTTTCCTCCCAGTTGTGTTCTGAAGCTCACTGGGAGGAGGTTTGAACTTCATTGTGTGTCGGGTTGGGGGAAGTGCACAAATTGCTAAGTGGTGCTGTTCAGTTCTAAGTGATCTGATCCCCTCCACCTCTCTCACAGCGCCTGGTCCAGTTGCCTCTAAGAAAGAGAAGAGCTGGGTAGCAAGATGGTTTGTAGGATCAAAATAGTCTTGCATGGTCCTGGGGTAGAGCTTGTGGCTGGTGTATTTTTGTTCCTCCCTCTCTGGCAGGGGCCAAGGTCAGTTCTGCAGGTGTTTCCTTTGAGGGTAATCCTGCATGCAGCTCTCTGAAGTTACATCTCAGCAGGGTTGCTGATGACCAGGGTCATGTATGAGGGAGGCAGAGGGAGGTACCTAGTTGTGGCTAGAGCATTGATTTGAATGGACCAGAAAGGTGGGGCTTCTACTCTGTCTGTGGCAGCTTTCACATAGTGTATTCTTGTCAAGTCCAGAAGTCTTCTGGGCTTTGGGGCATGGTAGTATTTACTAACTTCTGGGGGTAAGAAGCCATCCAACTGGCTTCTTCCAAGAGCCTGGACAGTGCTGTGGCAGCTCTGGAGGTTATGAGAGTCCCCAGAATGCCATGGCACAGTGGAGGCTGCACCCTCAGGTTCAAGAGCTGATGGAGAGGGTTTTTCAGAAGTGAATAGCTATTCCTGTTCTCGTGGCCAGGCCCTCAGGAAGAAGGTCACAGCCTCCTCCTGTTTGCATTTTCTGGATAAAAGTGAGCCATGCCTGTCTTTTCATACATACCTCCATGCCCCCCCCCCCCCCCCCCCCCCCCCCCAGTGTGCACGGCACAGGATTACTGTGTCCCATCTGTTCTGTGACCTCACTGTGCCAGGTGCTCATTGAGTTCTTATCCTGCGGATCCTCCCTGATGTCTGAGTAATTAACTCAGCAGTTTTGACCTGTGCTTTTCTGTTTTTGCCACATAGGAATTGGATTCAGAAGCAAAGATTGATGGAGAGACTGCATCAGACAGCGAGAGCCGAGCAGACCCAGTCCCCCCACCAACCTCCGTAGATGACACTCCAGAGGTCCTTAACAGGGCCCTTTCCAACTTGTCTTCAAGGTAACCAGCTTAGTGGTTCACCATGCCCATCTCCATGTAAGACTGAGGTCTTTAGGATTTCTGGTTCAAGGTTGTTTTATCTCCATGTATATCTGCCGTGAACATTTCTTTCAGTTTTCTAGGAAGACTAAGAAGTGTCTCAGCTTAAGTGAATCAGGGGTAAAACTCCTGACTCTCAAACCAGTCCTCTAATACCAGCTGTATGTCTGAGAAGCACAAACCATAAGTCTCCAAAGCATTCCCTGAAAGTGTTTATGTGTGCCTTCTGTGGAGAAGGGCCTCATGGGTCCTGGGTTCAGAGACTAGCTTACCATTAGCTTGCCACAGGATCTGTTTCCATTTCTCAGCATAATATGTACAAATATTATATATTGATTTAAAAATGCCTATTTAGACTGTTGTATCGGGGGTTGGGTGGGTCACTACATAAAGTTCTTATAGATATGCCTGTTGCATATTTGTGATAGTCGGTACTCTCTTTGTCTAAAATAGCTGTTTTTATTTTGATTTCAAGGCTGTGCCATGTAGAAGCCATCTGTAGGAGAAAATGATTTTAGCCTTAGAAATAAATGGTCATGGAAGCTATCCATGTAGACCCAGAAACAAAGGACACTCACTATTTTATCCCTGCTCTCTCACACCACCCTCAGGCTTTGTTTAAGGTGTGTGCTAGTGTGGCTTCTGCACCACTGAGTTTGGCAGCGAGCAGGCATTGGTGACGAGGTCCTGCCCTCACCAGCTGTGCGTCTGCTGAGGTGAAGGAGGTGCTCTGGAGTCTCACTTCTTTAGACTGGTGCTGTCGTTCCCTCTGGGCTCCTGACAGGTCTTTCTCTCTCACCTAGATGGAAGAACTGGTGGGTGAGAGGCATCCTGACTTTGGCAATGATTGCGTTTTTCTTCATTATCATTTACCTGGGACCAATGGTTTTGATGATGATTGTAAGTACCATTGACAAGCCATTTCAGTGCTGCATCCAGCTTTTCCTGTGGGACTGACTGGTCATCTGCAGTGCCTGCTGCCGACAGTGCCTTGTGTTGGGTTGGCTCTGGGAATCCTTGGAGTGCCCAGTTCTCAGATCCTTGTGTCTTAGAGCACCTGTAACCTCCCATATCTCACGTGTCACCTATAGGGTTACTGGCATGAATGGTGGCCCTGGCTGTTGGCTTGTGTGAGACTCTGGTTTCTTGCTTTCCTGGTGCTTTACTCACAGACTTAGAACTTCCATTGAGAAGTTGCAGTCCACAGGAATTCAGTCTTCCCGCCTGTTCTAGTTTGCCTGTCTGTTGCCATGCTAAACACCATGGCCAAAGGCAGCTTGGGGAGGAAAGGGTTTACATGTCCTGACACAGTCATCATGAAGGAAGTCAGGGCAGAAAACTAGATGTAGGAACTAAAGCAAAGACCATGAGGAACACTGCTTGTTAGCTTGCTCCCCATGACTTAGTCTGCTTTCTTATACATTCCAGGATCACCTGCCCAGTGATGGCAGCACCTGAAGTAGACTGGGCCTTCCAAATCAATCAGCAGTCAAGAAAGTGCTGCACAGGCTTGCCCACAGGCCAGTCTAGTAGAGGCATCTTCTCAATTGAGCTTCGCTGCTCTCAGATGTTGCTAGTTTGTGTCAGGTGGACAAAAACCTAATCAACATTTACAACCCTTACAGACAGACGGTCCTAGATGATGACAGCTGAGCAAAGCACTTGAGTGTGTGGTCTCCCCCCACCCCCCATGTATATGTGCAAGGTTAAAGTGGGAAGAGGATTGGCTTGAGTCCTGGAAGGTTCTAGAATTAAGGGTTAATCAGGACATCAGGGCTATGCATTTTGCTATGAGCAATTGTGACTGATGTAAATAAAGGGCTGTATTACCCTTGGTGGTGTGAGAGAAAAGGAGGAAAGCAGCATCAGTGTAAGATGGAAACATTTCTTCAATGTCATGACTGCTGAAAGCCAGTGAAGACCCTAAGAAGAGCTCTGGGATTTCTCTGTTTTTCAGGTGATGTGTGTCCAGATTAAGTGTTTCCATGAGATAATCACTATTGGCTACAATGTGTACCACTCCTATGACCTGCCCTGGTTCAGGACCCTCAGCTGGTAAGTTCCCTTGGTCTATGGGGCACCTTGCCTGATGCAGGTGATGTGATTTGTGTCAGGTACTTACAGTGGTGGTGGCCACAGACCTACACAGTGTCTTTGAGCCTGTGTCTCTCATAGGCTGGATTGTACGGCTGTCTTTGAGGAGTCTTCAGTAGCTGGGGACTTCCCTATAACAAACGTGTCTGTGGTTTACCTCAGTAGTAGGATTTCCTAGATTCCTACAGCCAGGGATGGTATTTGCATCCCCACCTGAGATCAGTGTAGCTTTTTGCTGCAAACCAGCCCCTCACTGGAGTCATCGGGAATTGGCAGGTTCTGGTGTCAGGGTTGGGCTCTCTGTAACTTGATTTCCTCATCAGTACAACGGATTGTTGAGGACTCATCTGTTGGAGCCCTACTTCCTCTAAGGCGCTCAGTGTGCCAGCATGGTTAGGATCTGAGCTCCTTCAGGAACTCTGTGTTTTTCTTCTCCTAAAAAGGCCTAGCAGCAAAAGCTAAATAAAGAATTGTAGCACATATGATTTCTGAGCCCCTTCCTGTCCCATCTGCTGTTGGCTCCTCTGTCCTCAGGTGGTGCTATTCTAGCAGAGCTGGGAAGACTCACTGACTGTGCTAATTGCTGTGGGACTTAATGGGTGGGACAGTAATGATTTGTGTGTAAGAAACTTGGTTATGGCCAAGGAAGCTGACTTGCTCAGACTTGGGTCTTTGTGTGTATTGTATCCCTCAATAGTACAGGCCAACTCTCAGCCTCCACCTGCCCTTGTGATTGCTCCCTGGGCTGAGATGTTGTTCTCCTTGTGGCTGTTCTGTAGTTAGACAGCTGTGTTTTGAATTTTGTGAACGTACTCAGGAGACCTGACCCTTGCTATGGTCACTTGGAAAAGGAAATTTTTCCACACAATGGAAAATAAACCCAATGTGGGAGTTTTTGTACTTCATAATTAAAAGATGGGAAAGAGAAGCTCTTTGATTTCTTCTGTTGAGGGCATGGGGTGATGTAGCATGACCCCATGTTCAGAAGCTTAATGGAGGTGTTGATTGTGGCTTCCCCCTCATGTTCCTCTAGTTGAAGAGAGGATATAAACCAGTGCGTAGTTAGTACTGGGGAAGGATCTGGGCCACAGCCAGGCTTCCAAAGGGACATATGTCCTGAGATGGAGCCTGATTGCCATGATGACATGATGAAGTCATCAGCTACTGCTTGCCATAGAAATAAGTGTGATGTGGTAGGTAGATGGATGTCAGGTCATGCAACTTTTTTTTTTTAATTTTAAAATAAAGTAGTGTTGGAGCAACAAATGCAAACAATGGGTAGGTGAAGGGGGTGTTCCAAGTGAGGAAGAGGTAAAGCAGAATAGATCGTGACAACGCTAGCTGAACCACTTTCGACAGAAGTGGAGAGTGCCTGTGGGAATAGTGGGACTGAGCTTAGGGAGGTAGGCTGAGGCACACTTTGGAGGGCAGGATTAGGTGTGGGAACACCACAAAAGGGGGAAATTCCAGGTCTGTAATAGAGGGAGAATAATAAAGTTTGCCATAAATTTCTAGATCCGCTCTCAAGGTGGTGGGCTATATTCTCTTTTCGGGGCTTTTTGAAGGAGGCTGCAGCACTCTCCTGGCATTGTCTTCTTATCATTTCCAGGTACTTTCTCCTGTGTGTAAACTATTTCTTCTATGGTGAGACAGTGACAGATTACTTCTTCACTCTGGTCCAAAGAGAGGAGCCTTTGCGGATTCTCAGTAAATACCACCGGTTCATTTCCTTTACCCTGTATCTCACAGGTATGTATCATTTATTTCCCCCAGTTCTCCTCTGGGCATCCTGTTCCTCTGCTTCATTTGTAGGAGTTGGTTAAAGTTTTGTGATGTTAGCTGATCATGCTAGAAAGTGAGCTGACAGCTCTGTCTTACATTGACTGTAAACTGATTTTCCCCATGGGCTTTGAAATCATTGTAGTGCTTAATTGTTACAAATAAGTTAGTGAGTGGACTACTTCTCTCAGCTAAAGAAAAAGAAAGAAATGCAGTGTGATTCATTTTATCCTCTCTCCTGTTTCCAACTAGGGTTCTGCATGTTTGTACTGAGTCTAGTTAAGAAGCATTATCGACTGCAGTTCTATATGGTAAGGGGAGTGTGTGTGTTGTGTGTGTGTGTGTGTGTGTGTGTGTGTGTGTGTGTGTGTGTATGAGAGAGAGAGACAGAGACAGAGACAGAGGCAGAATATGTATGTTGTGGGGCCGTGTGAGAGATTGGAATTGATTTCTTGGTTACTTGAAGATCTGCAGTAACTAACCAGATGAACTTGTTGCTCAGATGATCTGTAGAAACTCATCAGGCCTTTCATGTTTTCTGTGACACATGAAAACTTGATATGGTTTGATCTGTATTCTGGAACCCAACAAGAGTCCTGCCGTCCTTCATCTAACTAGATCAGACATTCAACTTACATGCTGAGGTCTTTCCTCTGGGCGTCTGAAGGTGGGAGGACCATGCTGCAGCCATATAGGCATTGCTGTGGGCCTCCATCTCTCTCATTGTTTGGTGCTGGTCGTTTCTTGCCTCAGCCTGAGAGAATCAAGAGTGGGAAAATGAAAAGTTCCCAGGCTCAAGAGCGTGAAAGGACTCACTCACTCGTAGGGTGCAGACCCTGCTAGTTTCTGTTATTGTTTGATTGGGTATCACTGTGTAGCTTAGGCTGGTCTCACATTTGCAGTTTTCCTGTCTGTGGAGCACTGAGTTTTCAGGCATGCCTCACCCATGTCTGACTTAGCCTCTACTTTGATGGGGCTGTTACTGGGAAGGACTACATTATTTCCAGAAGCTTATGTTATGTGCTTCTCACTGCCAATAAGTCAGGTATTAAACTTCCCTGTTTCTCAGGAGTTTCCCATTTGTTCCTTCCTGTTCTTTGAAGCTATTTTTGCAATAAACTTGGTAGGTAGAGTTCCTTTTCTTCTCTTGCAGTTTGGCTGGACCCATGTGACCTTGCTTATTGTCGTAACCCAGTCACATCTTGTTATCCATAACTTGTTTGAAGGAATGATATGGTAAGTAGGGACACTGGGACATTGCCTTTTTTTTCCCCCTTTGGGGTTGGGGGTTGTTTCTAATATACAGGTATGCTAATGGCCTCTGCCTCCATTTCTAAGCTTCCCACCTTGTGCCTATCAGAATTTTCTGTGGGCTGGTTTACAATGCGTAGATGATTAAGTTGGTCTGGTGTGGCACCTGATTTGAATTTCTAGTCCATTCCCAGGTGATGTAGAAACTGTTTTTGAGAGTCAGACTCTGAGACGCTCTAATCTAGATTGAAAGGGTCATTGAAAGTTAAAGAACCGAAGGTCAAAAACTGTGGCAGCAGACTTGATAATGTAGGTGAGATAATCATGATTTCCTACAACTTGTAAACAAAAAAGGTAATGAAGATACACACGTAGGCAGATTTTTCTGTCCCACCAGCCAGCTCCTAAATAACCACATGGAGACTTCTGTTAATTATGAAAGTTCGGCCAACAGCTTAGGCTTGTTTCTAATTAGCTTGCTCTTATAATTTAAATTAACCCATTTTTATTAATTTACTTTCTGCTTCATGGCTTTATTACCTTTACTCTCTACTGCCCAAGCTGCTTTGCTGCTTCCTCCTTACCTGGCTGGTGACTCTGCCTTCTTCCTAGCATTCTCTCTGCCCTGAAAATCTTACTTAGTAGTGATTGACTATTCAGCTTTTTATTAAATCAGTCAGAATGACACATCTTCACAGTGTACAGCATACACACTTGAATAGGTCAGTAATTATAGAGGAGCTTTGAAAGCTGTTAATTCCATACTTGGTAGAAGAAACAGGACTAGATGGGTCAAGAGCAGATAGTTACTTGACCCTTCAGAAGATCATACACAGAGAGAAGGAGATGGGAAACTGATTTCCTTTATGGTTAAAAATAAATAAAATGCTGGAGAATTGAATCTGGCAGTGGGTCAGAAGAACAGTATGCTACATCTGTGTAATTTGACTTAAGTGGTGGCTTCACCTGGAAACTTGTCCGTTGTTAGTCACAGGCTGATTGGAGAAGCTAGATGCCCTCAGTGGGATGGTCAAGACACAGCTGGTGTAATGTAATGAGAGGGATGATAAGCCCACAAACTTATCTCAGAATGTGTTCACCTCTAAAGAGTGCCTGTAAAATGTTAGCCTTATGTATTATATTTAAAACAAGGTACCATGGCCCAGCTCCTTCCCTGTCTGGGTTTTTATTAGGTATTTAAGAGTGCTAAATTCAGGGCTAAGCATACCATGAGGATCATTTGTGACTAATAGTAGCATTTCTAATGAAGGCGTCATCATAGTTCTATAGAACAGAGACGGCTGGAAGCCTCGCTGAAGGAAATGCTGTGGGTGTTGGAGGTGATCGAGTGAGGATGTTCACTTCCAACTCCCTCAGAGTAAGCCAGGAAATACCACCTGTAGTTGTTGGGCCAGGAAATACAATTTACATATAGTATGTTACACTGTAACAGGGGAACTTAGAACAGTGTCAGAGTGAGGAGAGGGGTGGACTGGACCAGTTCTGTTGGGAAGGATGTGTCAGCAGTGGAGGATCAAGGAATAAGTGCATCTCTGAGTACTGGTTTTGTTATAACAAGGAAGGAGAGAGAGAGAGAGAGAGAGAGAGAGAGAGAGAGAGAGAGAGCTAATTTGGAATGGCAAGTGTTTCTGAAACCTCAAAACCTGCCCCTAGTGACACACCTCCTCCAATAAGGCCACACCTCCTAATCCTTCCCAAATAGTTCCACCAACTGCTGACCAAGTATTCAATATATGAGTCTGTGGGGGCCATTCTCATTCAAACCACCACATTCCACTTCTTGGCCCCTCTAGGCCTGTGACCTTTTTTTTTTCTTTTTCTTTTTTTTTGTGTTTTGTTTGTTTTTCCGTTCTCTGTGGCTTTGGAGGCTGTCCTGGAACTAGCTCTTGTAGACCAGGCTGGTGTCAAACTTACAGAGATCCGCCTGCCTCTGCCTCCCGAGTGCTGGGATCAAAGGCGTGGGCCACCACTTCCAGGCCTTTGTGACCATATCTTAATGCAAAACGTATTTAGTTCAACTTCAAAAGTCTCCATAGTTTTTTCAGACTCAATAGCTTCAAAGTTCAAAATTTCCTCTGATATTCAAGGCAATTTCTTAGTTGTAATGCCTTGTAAAATAAAAAAACAAATTATATACTTCCAACATACAATAGCACAGCATTTGTATTACTATTCCAAGGGAGGAAATGGTGCGTAGTGAGGAAATACTGGACCAAAGGCAAGACTGAAAACTGGCAGGGCAAACTCCAAATCCTGTTGCTCTATGTCTCATGTCAAAGGCTTAGATGTCTTCTCCCCACTTTGCTGGCTACAGCACGCTTCTTTTCTTGGGCTTGTTCACTCATTATGTGCAGCTCTCCTTGCCTGGTATCCCACAGCTCTGGTACTTCCAATATTCTGAGGTCTGTAGTACAATCCAGGCTTCACTTTAAACAGCTTCACACAATGGCTATTATGGACCTCCATTCAGGACTCTCCTGCCACATGTCTGTCCTCAGCAAAGAAGAAGATTCCACAACCCCTTTACTTTTGTATCCTTCATGACTAAAGCCAGGACCACTTGGTTGATGCTGCCAAATTCTGCTACCTGGTTAGGATGGTACCTGACCTCCTCCTTGAATTACATTTGCACAGGGTTTGGTTGTTGTTCTGAGGAAGCAAAGCTTCTCTTCTCACAAGTTGTAGGGTTAGCTGGGTGGCGTCTCACCTTGAGGGTGCCACTCACTTTATCCATTTCTCCTTATCTTTGTCAATACAAACCTTGCCTCCAACGTTATATTTCTTGTTTTTTTTTTTTTCTCTTCAAGCTATATATTTTGCATTTCTTTTTACCCCACTTTCTCCTTGTCATTGAACATCTGCATAAGAGTGATCACTAAAAACCACAGCAGAGTCAACATTAGGCTGTCTTGAAGTCTCTGCCAACGAAGTTAGTCCAAAACTCTTCAATTTAGTCTCTGGTGAATTCTTAGGACAGGGGCAAAAGTAGCCACATTCTTTGCCAAAATATCACAAGAATGACCTCTAGTTCAATTGCTAATTTGTTCTCCTCTGAAACCTCTTGAGTTGGGCACCCACAGTCCACACTGCTCTCGGCCATACTAGGATTGCCAAGTTAGCCCTGTTACAGCATTCAGTTATTTTCCTAGTCCAGAATCCCAAAGTCTTCCACATTCTTCCAAAACAGCATGGCCAGACCTGTGACAGCAATAGCCCACTCCCTGGGCTTTTGTCTTAGTTACTTTTCTGTTGCCATGACAAAACCATGACCAAATCATGAGAGAAAACATTGTATTTGGGACTTAGGACTCCAAAGAGAGTCCATAACAGAGAGATAGAGATGGACACACACAAACACACACACACACACACACACACACACACACACACACACACACACACACACACAAAAAAAAAAAAAAAAGAAAGAGAGCCTTCCAGTGACATACCTCTTCCAACAAGGCCACAAACAGTTCCACCAACTGATGACCAAGTATTCACATATATGGGATATATGGGCCTGTGGGGGTCATTCTCATTCAAACACCGTGGAGAATATTAGTGCTAGTAATAAACAGTGGGAAATTTAACTATGACATATTGATGTATATTGCTTAAAAACAAAGATAATTACTAGGCAAAAAGAAAGATTTTAAATAGCTATTTTAGGGACTAGTAGTAGGGATGGGGAGATAAGCAATGTCCCCCCAAACAGTTTGTTATCTCGCTCATATAGTACTTTGTAACGAAAAAGGAACAAATGCCATTTATAAAATGCTGTGTTCATTTGTCATTCAGTGAACATCTAAATACCAGTCATGTGCCATGTACTAGGTATGGCATTTTGGTGTGTGCTCCCCACTGCTTTTTCTTTAGAGATGGTGTCTGTGTAAAGCCTAAGCCAGTCATGGACTTAAAGCAATCCTGTCTTACCCTCCCCGGCTGGTGTTAGAGGCTTGTACAACCATACCTGACTAACTTTCTTTTTAAATTTTTATTTACAGATATCAATTAAACATAGTAATGTATTTTATTATGCTTTAATATATGTATACAATGTATTTTCTTTATTCACCTTTTATTGCCTTCTCTTTCTTCCTTCCCACTTCCACTGATTCCTTTCCTCTTCCCATATTTATTTTCTTCTCAACTTAAACCTTAATGAATTACAAATACACCATGAGCTATTTTAGTAGTGAATTATTATTGACACTCTTTGGTAGACTTCTGAGATCATCTTGGTAGAGTTATTTCTCTCTTGGATTTCCCCCCTAGGTTTATTGTTCCCATTTCATGTGTCATCTGCAATGATATTATGGCCTATATGTTTGGCTTTTTCTTTGGTCGGACCCCACTCATTAAGGTAAGTGGGTCACCTTGATATGGGTTGTCCCAGTGGGTGGTAATGCTTTCTGTATGGATTGCCAGTGGGTAGGGAGGACATCTTGCCGATGTGTACCCACTGTATTCCCGTCTTCATGTCATTTCGGGGATATGTAAGAGGAAAAAAAACCCAAAGAGACACAGGCAAATACTTATTTCAAAAAATCTACCAAATACACTATTTTTATGTAGACATACTTTTGGGGCTCTGGTCTTTATTTGACTATTGTTATTAATGTATATTTTTATAATATAATGAATGTGTAAGCCACTAATGGAATAGAAAGAACACTAACCTGAAGAACATAGGAAATAAGAAAAAACTTTTTTGGGGGAGAATTTTTTTTCAACTTTTTTTTTAATTTGAATTAGAAACAGGATTGCTTTATATGACAATCCCAGTTCCCTTCTCCCTCTTCTCCCTCCCGTCCTCCCCTACCACCCCCCCTCCCCCCTTCCCCCCACCCCCAACTAAAACCCTACCTATCCCATATCCTTTCTGCTTCCCCTGGATGGTGAGGCCTTCCATAGGGTGTCATCAGAGTCTATTGTATCCTTTGGGATAGGGCCTAGGCCCACCCCTGTGTGTTTTGGTTCAGGGAGTATCCCTCTATGTGGAATGGGCTCCCAAAGTCCACACCTATGCTAGGGATAAATACTGAACTTCTACAGGAGGTCCCGTAGATTTCTGAGGTTTCCTCACAGAAACCCATGTTCCTGGGGTCTGGATCAGTCCTATGCTGGTATGTCCTCTGCATCCCTCCTCTTGGGGAGAATTTTGAAAGGAAATAAGATAAAAAACTTTTTTGGGAAGAATTTTGAAAGTGACACAATTAATTGAAGAGGGATTTTTATATAGAAATACTTAATTTGTATGATTTTGAGATGGTCTTACTGTGTAGCCCTGGCTGGTTTGGAACTCCCTGTATAGATCAGGCTGGCTTCAAAGAGATCCTCTTGCCTCTACCTCCTTAGAGCTGGGATTAAAGGTTTGTGTCATCACACCTGGCTGGAAGTACTTTTCATAAGTAATCAAGCACCAAACTGGAGTTGCAGAAGTATCCTTTGCTGACAGTGTGTTTTCTGTCTGCAGCTCTCTCCGAAGAAGACCTGGGAAGGCTTCATTGGGGGCTTCTTTGCCACTGTGGTGTTTGGCCTTCTGGTAGGTGGTAGCTTCTGTCTGGATGGGGAGGGGACAGGGCCCCACACCATCTTCAAAGGCCTATGCAGAGACTCTCTCTTGCCCAGTGCTGACCTTGCTCAGAAGAACACGTTCTGTAACTAGCATGGCAGCTTCCCGTTTTCAAGTAGTTGTATAGGGGCCCATGCGTGCCTCATATGTCCTCTTATGCCCAGGCACCAGGTAATACTAAGATTGGGGTGACGACTGGCAACTTGGAATAAGGGGTGAGGTAAGAAGTGTTACTTCACTCAAGATTTTCTTCTGCATATGACTTGCCTGGAGGAGTACAATCTTGTAGCCCCTTTGAAGATACCATTCCCTGTGCTGATCCTCAGTCCTTCCGTTTTCTAGTGTTGGCTGACTGTCATTGTACCTCCCACCCTCCCACCATGGCTTCTGTGTAGCACTGGCTTTAATTCTTAGCACAATGGGGCAGGGCTCCATAGGTGGGAGGAATTGTCTTATAGGTCTTTGCTCAGATCTTTCCTGGGTTTTTCAGGGTTTGTGTTTGGATATATATGTGTGAGTCCCCAGTGAGACACACGAACCTTTTTGCTTAAGAGTTGAGGTAAAATATATATGTGGTGACACACAAGCCTCTCTTTGAGCCCATGGCATACAGTGAACAAGGTGGGAGGTACTCTGAGAATCATGGCCCAATCAGACACTGGCCAGCCAGGCTGGATATCTACAACTGGTGTTCCTTCTTGCCCCTCTGTTCTTCATCCCTAGCTCTCCTATGTGATGTCTGGGTACAGATGCTTTGTCTGTCCTGTGGAATACAACAATGACACCAACAGCTTCACTGTGGACTGTGAGCCATCTGACCTATTCCGCCTGCAGGAGTATAACATTCCTGGAGTGATCCAGTCAGTTGTTGGCTGGGTATGTACTACTTTCATGGGGTGACTGCAGAGAGGAGTTTTCTCCAGAGATATTAGCTTCCCCTCTCCCAGAGCTGTGAGCTCTGGGTCAGGATCAGGGTAGAGGAGACCTTTCCCCAAATTAATGTCACTTAGAGCAATGGTTCTATTGTGTGGATTCCTAGAGGATCATGGATCTCTTTAAAGGGGTCTGTGAAATTCCAGCGACTTCCCAAATAATGTGTTTCTTTCACTGGGATGGTGTCTTCCTGATGATGAAGAATTAGTGGTTAAAACTTGTGTTAGGGGCTGAAGAGATGGCTCAGAGGTTAAGAGCACTGACTGCTCTTCCTGAGGTCCTGAGTTCAATTCCCAGCAACCACATGGTGGCTCACAACCATCTATAATGAGATCTAGTGCCCTCTTCTGGTGTGCAGGCAGAACACTGTATGCTAAATAAATAAAATCTTTAAAAACAAACAAACAAACAAATAAACAAAAAACTTGTGTCAGTTGGATATGAGTTAAAACCACAGCACTGCCTGGACTAGCAGCTCATTGCTTGCTTCATGCTGTACCCTCCTGGCAAGTGTAGACAAGCCACTTGCTCTTATGAATGCCCTTGATAGGATTCTAAAATTAGTAACTTCATTAAAATAGTCTTGATCCCTGATATCATTTTAATGTTCTCTGTACTGAAATGGAAATCCCACAGAAAATATTTTTGCCAAATACTGAAGAGAAAATGTGTTCAGTTGTTTAAATTGTGAGTTCAACTAGCTGCTTAGTTCTTGGTGTAGAGTTTTTATTAGAAAAGACTTGAGTATATAATGGACATTTTTCTTGAGAAGAATGAAATAAGTCTGTCACTTCAAAGAAAATGACTGATAGCAGTTTTTATCAATGATAAAAATCCACGTTTCAGGCGAAAATGAGAATTTTGAAAGTGTGCACCTGTTATTGTGAACGTGGCGGCTTTCTGGCATTAAAAGCTCTCTGACATCCCATAACAGCATGTGCCTACATGTGGGAGATTTGCATAACAGTGACCTGGTGTTTCTTAAATGATCAGTGTATGGTGTTCCACAGTTTTGTATGGTATTCCACAGTCACGTCTGGATAAAAGGTCCACCACCTACAGTACATTGTAGACCAATGGATTTATGTGAAGAAGTGCAAAAAATTCCTTAGGAGGATTTCAGATTCTACACTTACCTAACTTTGTTTGGCTTTTGTTTTTGTGAGACAGCATCTCACTATGAACTTGGAATCCTTCTGCCTCCTGAGTGCTGGGATTGTAGGTGTGTGCTACCACCTGGCTTACAGCTGTTTTTCTTCTCTTTGTGTGTGTGGCTGCATGAATGTATGCATATTTACAGGTAGGTATGTATGTGTGTGTGTGTGTGTGTGTGTGTGTGTGTGTGTGTGTGTGTGTAGGCCTTCGGTTGATGGCAGAATCTTAATTGCTTTTCTACCTTATTCTTTTGAGGCAGGGTTTCTTGAGTAAATCATGAGCTTACACTATGGCTTCTTGCTAGCTTGCTCTGGGATCCTCTTCAGAGTCTGGAATTACAAGTGGCTGCTTGCACACTTACCCTTTCCATGAATTCTGGGGAACCTAACTCTGGTCCTCTGGCTTGTAGGGCAAGTACTTGAACTGATGAGCATCTCCCCAGCCTGCCCCTAAGTTTTAAGGAACTGTGTCTGTCAAGTTCTGATGAAAAGATAAAGGATACCCACAATTCTCTGAGAAGACTGCTGAAATACTCATCTTTTTGAAATTACATTCTCTGTAAGGCTAAGAAGGAATTTTCTCATGTATTGTCTGCAAAGCAGCAGAAGAAGTTGATTGCAGAATTTCTCCTTTTGTTTGTTTGAGACAAGTTCTTATGTGGTTTAGACTGGCCTTAAACTCTCTGTAGCTGAAGGTACCCTTGAGCTCCTTATCCTACTGCTTCTGCCTTCAAATGCTGGGGTTATAGGCATGTACCACTACTCTAGGCCAGAATATCTTAATGTCTACCATTGGGCCAGATGTTAGAGACTTAAAAGCATAGGCTGGCCTCATTTATTTTCTATTTATTTATTTATTTACTTATTTATTTTGGTTTTTTGAGACAGGGTTTCTCTATGGCTTTGGAGGCTGTTCTGGAACTAGCTCTGTAGATTAGGCTGGTCTCAAACTCACAGAGATCCCCCTGCCTCTGCCTCCTGAGTGCTGGGATTAAAGTGTGTGTTATCACCACCGGGGGCCAGCCTTTTTTTTTTTAAAGGCTCATTTCTTTGATGAGTATGAGTGTTTTGCACACATGGTTGTTTGTGATTGCAGTGCCAGTGGAGGACAGAAGAGGGGTGGCAGATCTGTTTTGGGATATTTGATCATTATGAAAATCAACCATGGGTCAAGAGGCCGATCCAGCAACTAGTCGAAAGGAAGTGGCCACAGAGAGTAAGAGGGAATCAGGAAAACAGCTAGAGAAACGCACAGGAAGTAGTAGGAAAAGACTTTGAGTTTGGCAGCCTTTTTGGTTTGGCGGAAGAGAAGCTCTCTCTCTTCTTTGAAGTTGGCTAAAGAGGAAGGTCAGCTGGTTGCTCCTCGGCCTCTCTGAGCTAGCAGGTTTTCACCCCAGCATCTGACTCCCAAGTCTTTATTGGTGAAATCATAAGATTGAGATTTAGTTTAAAAACAACACAGATCTCCTTGAACTGGAGTTATGGGTGGTTGTGAGCCATCGTATGTGCTAGAAACTGAACCCAGCTCTTTGCAAAAATAGCAGGTGCTCCTAACCACTGGACCATTTCCCCAGCCCTTCAGTCTTCTGATTGAAAAGAGAGAGGTCCGGTTTTATTAACTTGTTCCATTAACTGTAAAAAGCCAGACTTGTACATTCCTTGACTTTGATTTCACTTACTCTCTTTAGAAAACAGTGAGGATGTACCCTTTCCAGATCCACAGCATTGCCCTCTCCACCTTTGCTTCGCTCATCGGTCCATTTGGAGGGTTCTTCGCAAGTGGATTCAAACGAGCCTTTAAAATCAAAGTAGGCAAACACGCCTCTCTACCCCTCACTCCCTGTTGCCCATCCACGTTGTCTCTCTGCCCTGCTCCATCAGCATTCACCCCTTTACCATACCAGTTTATGCACCCTGCTCTTCTTGACCCAGGAGCTGAATTTGGAGGGCAGTAAACAAAAGTAAAAGTCAGTTTTTAGTTGGCGGTTTTTTTTTTTTCAACAAAAGAACACTTTGTAATTTACAGTTGTACTCTGTGATCACCTGAGCATTTGATTTTATCTATACTTCTTTCCATCACCTTCTGTACCCAGCGGGGTTTTGGTTATGGGGTGGGTCTGTTAGTCTGACCCAGGCTCATCCTTCTTTCCTCTGCCTCTAACAGGACTTTGCCAATACCATTCCTGGTCACGGAGGCATCATGGATCGCTTTGACTGCCAGTACCTGATGGCCACCTTTGTCAATGTGTACATTGCCAGCTTTATTAGGTATGGTTCCACTCTACCTGAACCACATGAGTGGATTTCTTTTTTTGTTTTTTTCAAGACAGGGTTTCTCTATGTAGCGTAGAACCCGTTCTGTAGACCAGGCTGGCCTCAAACTCAGAGATCTACCCTTTCTCTGCCTCCTGAGTGCTGGGTTTAAAGGCGTGCACTGCCATGCCTGGCTGTGGATAATGGAATCCTCAAATCAGTTTCTTAAGTTCACTAAAAACCATCCTAAGCGTGAGTGTGGTTTTCAGTTGTTGCTGTATATGAATCGTCTGAGGTTCCTCCCCCTCCAGTGGTAGTGAATTCAGGGATCAGAGCCCCACTTAGATAACTGGACCAGCAAAGTGTCTGCCCCTGCTCAGGGATGCTTCATGTTTTGTTGTAGGGGCCCAAACCCAAGCAAACTGATCCAGCAGTTTCTGACGTTGCGGCCAGATCAGCAGCTCCACATCTTCAACACACTCAAGTCTCACCTGACTGACAAGGGCATTCTGACCTCTGCCTTGGAAGATGAGTAGTGTCCAACCAGGACCAGGAGAGCCAGAGCAGGACTGAGTGAGGGCAGGTCACCAAGGCCAGCCCAGATGCTGTGACTTAGATAATGAAAAGCTTCAACTCACTGTCTTTTTCTTTTAAATTTGTGAGTTTTGTTTTGTATTTTAAAAAATCTGTATATACAGTCTGTTTATAATGTGGGCTGTGAGTAAGTTATAGCTTTGAGTTGCAAAGAAGTCGCAGGGAAGAACCATTTGGGTTTCTTAAATACAGGTATTGAACAACATGAAAGACAGTGTTGCCCAGCTCAGGGGGTCCACTTGGGGGGTTCTAACTCCCATCCATCTAGTTGTTCCTGGGCTGTATGAGAGGTCATGCATTCATCTGTGTCTGACTAGTAGAGAGACTGTCCCACCTGGCAGAGCTGTTGTGACAACTTTCACTGGGGCATCTCTGCCTGGGAGCAATGGGGGGCTGCCTGCTGTAAGAGGGAGGGAGGGAGGCTCACTGATCACATGAGCATCTTGTCCAAGCCAAAACCCTGCAGAGGGCACATGAGCTTTGCTTGTAGTTTGCTTTCACCATTACAGACTGAAAGAAGATTTCAGACTTCATTTTTCTCAGAAAGCATGAAGAATTTATGAAGTCTGGAAAGAGAAACCCACAGTGTAATATTTTTAGTGTATGCAGTAGAATGTACTGTCACAACCTTCCCCACCACCCCAGGCTCCAGGGCTTCTGGAGGAGGTCCTGTAGACCACATCTTTCAGAGCTGAGGCCTTCACATATGTGCTGTGGGTTTGCTGCTGCTGAGTTCTTCCGGGGACTCCTGAGAGGTGGGGAGCAGAGGGCTTCGGTTCACACACCCTTTGCCTGGAAGCCCACTTGTGTTGCTGCTGTGTTGTGTATATAGTACTCTCGAGGTGAATGTATGTCTGTGTGTTTGAAAGTCACTTGTTTCCTATATGAGTTCGGTCATCCCTGGATTTCTCAAGTCCCCGAGTCCTGCTTAGAACTACAGCAAGCCTAATCTCAAGACTCAGTATACACTTTGTATGAAATGTGGCCAGTTTAGATGTAGTTTGTACTTTACTGGGGACCTCTTGCTGTTGTTTGTGTAAGCTGTGATTGTTCTTTTCCTTCCTAATCATAAGTGAGACTGATAAGTTGGGAGCTGCTTCTTTGTCAGGCCCAGGAGCAGTTGGCAGAGAAAGAACTTGTTCCCCAAGCATGTTGACACCATGGACATAGTGTCTGCACTGCTGAGGAGGGCACAGTGACTTGCTTTAAGCATCTTGGTTTGTGCCACTTTGTTTTCAAATTAGCCTCCTGTCTCCAATGCAGATAGCTCTCAGAATGTCTTTCATGCACCACCATGCAGCCTACATGGGGGTAAGGGTCGGGGTGGGACAGCTTTTTGGTTCTGAGCTTTGACTTCTGTGTCAGCCTGTGGCTTTTCTTTCTTTCTTGGCTCCCAGGGCTGCATTGAGCCCACTGTTGCCTTGGGTTTGGGTTCTTCTGTGTGGCCCTGGGTGGGAAGCTTTGCTCTCAGGTTCTCCTTTTCTGACTTACCCTGGAAGTTCACAAATTCTGCAACTCTATAGAGAAGTTCCTGTCACTGGAGGCCCCTGTTGCTATTGAGTCATGTCATGGGCACCCAAAAAAGGAAATACACTCAGTTGTGTTTTACAATTGCTCCTAAAGATGAGTCAGTGTTTTCTTAAGGTTTTCAGTGGTGGTTAGGAATGAGACTGTACTTTTCTGTCTGAAAACTGACCTTGGATCACCAGACTAGATAGAGAAGGACACACCAGTCCCTAGCAGCCAAGACTCACCCTTGAGCAGCAATGACTGGGACTTGAGGAGGCGGTGGCTGGTGTCTAAAATACTGAAACGCAGTGCTCACTGGAGCTGCCAGCCAGAGGTTTTTATTCTTTTCTGAGTTCCTGGGAAAGAGGAGGATTTCCAGGTCAAGTAGCCAGGAGAGCAATGCCACCGTGTGTCTGTGCAGCATGTTGTTTGTCCCATCAAACAGGCACCACCCCAGAGATTACTTTACCACACACCATGCAGATCTCAGTGGCTCACATAACTTGCTTTATACTCATCTTGTTTTGTCAGAAATAAAAATTTTTGTGCCTTTCCTTGTCATGAATTCGGTGTTTGTCACTTTCATGCATGGCTTTATATTTCCCACTTTGTGTGATTGTAAATACTGTGCAGTTTTAATTTAGAGGGCTTTGTTTTCCTGCTTGTATGCCGTCTCTTCATAGCAGCCTTCTGAGGTACCTCAGATGAGAGCCATGTGGTGGAACCAGAAAGTACTCCACCTCACAGTGTGCCTGCAGGACAAGGTTATATAGTCCTGCCTCCCCAACACCGAGTACTGCAGTGTTCATTCTCTCAGGCCCCAGAGGCCTGAGCAAGGCCTGAGCAAGGCCTGAGCCAGGCAGTGCTTAGATGACTTATAACTGGTGAGGTCGGGATTTGGTGAACAATGGGGTCCCAGAACCCAGGCTGACAGAGAACAAGCCAGGGGGGCTCCCTGGTGAGTTCTGCTCATGATGGTTCCTAGGAAAAGGAGCCTTCCCTTTGTGTGTTCATTTCCACCCTCTTAACCACCTCAGTGTGAAAAAACGAACTTCATGTTTCTGTTTTACTTCTGAAGGTGAAGTCCTGTACACACACACACACACACACACACACACAGTCTGTTTCACAATCCTAGCCTTTTAGTTTCTGCTTTATAACCACATTTAAAATGTATTTATTCTTAATGTTCTGTAGTATTCAGTGCAGTAACCAGTCTTCAGAGATAGGAAGTCTACGTGTAATCCTGCATAGGTGGACTGTGAAACTATTTGTATGCTATTTCACCCCTGCTTGCTTTCATCCTGTAACTTGGCCTATATTATACAAGAAAATTCGAGCAGTGTATTTCAAGGGAATCAACAAAGACCTTATGGGCTAATTGCTGGGTTGGCAAGGGCCTGATTTGAATGAGTCCCTGAGGTCAGTCCCTGTGTTGGTGGAGCTGGGAGGAAGGGTGACTTCAGGACAGAGTGTAGGGCAGTCACTGTTCATTATGAAGTCAGCCTGGGTAGATCTCCAGGGGAGACTTTTCCTCACTTCCAGTGTGGGATGTCACAGCTAAAGAAAGGTTCCTGTGTTAGGAACATCCAAGGTCATGTTGTCTTTTCTCTTTCAGAGTATCGAGTCTGTGTCCCCTACTGTTCTTGCACACTGTGCTCTTGTGGGGAGGAGGTTGGTTTCACTTGTACCCAGGCTGCTTCTTTCAGGTCAGGATGAGGAGGGAGGCCTAAGCCAGGGTGGCAAGCTGCAGATAGAACACGAGGTAGTCAACTATGGGTGGACTCTGTCTGGAGCTTGGGGTGCAGAGGGCACCCCGGAGGAACTGTCAGCTGCCGAAGAGAGGCTAGTTCTTGGGCAGCACTGCAGACTCTTGCTTATCTTGGGTAAATGGAACTTCCTTTCCCCGTTATCACTCAAGGCAGTTGCTCAGCATCCTGTTTTTAAAGAGATTATTAGCTTCTACTTCCTGACTCAGTTTCCCTGGTTGAGTTGGGGACTTACAGAGGGTGCTGAGGTTTGGATCAAGTAGTAGAGAAGGGTCCTTATTTTTTTAAGGGTTTTGCTTGGCCCATCTGCAGTGTCCTAGCCAGGCCTCACTCACATTCTTCCAGGGTGAGCCTATGCTTAGGAGCATCTATAGCTGCTGACTGATTCTGTTAGAATGTGGTCCACCTTTCTGCCTCCTCTCCCCTCCCTCTGTTCAAGTTGACTGGCAGCGACCCTACCTGGGCTCTGGGCTCTCCTGTGGGTGAAGGCTGTTATCATTGGGCAAGCGGCTCTATTGTTTGCAAAGGCCAAAAGATCCTGGTGTTGGGAGCAGTTTAGAAGTGTGCTTTGGATGCTGAAGTATTGGGGTTTTAGGACATGGGGTGATTTTGAGACTAGAAGGGCAGACTATGCAAAAGCTAGAGATTTATGACCAGTGATCTTCAAATGTTTGAAGACCCTGTCTCCACCCTTCCCCTTTGTCAGGTGCCTATCTTCCTGGCTCTTTATCTTATTCTCCAGCTGGTGAAATAGCAGCAATGTGTTATTAACAATCTCAATCATATAGTGCTTAATATGTGCCAGACACAGTGCTAAGTGCTTGCGTGCATTACCTCCTTTAATCCAGAAGAAGCTCGGGCTAGGTGGTAACCCATCTTACAAATGGGAAAGCTGAGCTCTGTCTTAGAGACTGAGAACAATGTGAGGAAGATGGACCTGAGGCTCATCTAGCTCTCTGTCCAGCTGGGTTGTAGGCTGCTGGCAGCTGTCTCTTCCCACCAGCTGGCCGTGAGGGTGCCCGTGAGGATTTAATGAGCTAATGCACGTAAGCGATTAGCAAGGTGCCTGGCACATAGTAAGCACTCAATAAATAAATGGGAGTTGCTTTTTTTCTTTTAAACTGAGGTCAGTGAGCAGTTTGGCCCACACTGGTGGGCTGCTGGGTATTCAGCCACCACACTCACTGCCTGCACATGGTTTGGCACTTGTGTCCTATAAAGTGACCACACTGTCCTTCCAAGAGAAGCACGTTAGCAGTCCAATAGGAAGAGCCCTGTGCGGCAACTTGATGTTTTCCATGGCATTGAGGCCCCCTGACTGAGGGATGATGCGAGGCTGCTTCCATTCCTCTTTTCCCTGTGGTTGAGATTGCTCACAGGAAGGCTGCTGACTCTGACCTGGGGCTGCCCTCACCCTGGGCAGCAAGGGCCTGTCTTGCTCTGACTCCACCTTGTCCACCAAGGCCTGTACTCTGTTGTACAATTCAGGAATCCATGGTTCTCGCTACAAGTGGGTATTTTCAGGAATAGAGCAGGATAGAGAGAACAATCCTGAGGCCGAGTGCACCAGCCAGAAGCCTGAAAGCCCGGCCCATGCTCTTGACACCATAACCCTTCCACCCCGTGTTTCTTTCTTAAGAGAACAGGTTAGAGCGGGTGACCACTGGGGACAGGTAATGTGAGTGTTTCTGTCTGTTCTAGATTAGCAAAGGATCACATATCACATAGATTATTAATGATGAATGGAGAAATGTTTAATTGATATATATATATATAGAGAGAGAGAGAGAGAGAGAGAGATTGTGTCTTGGACAAGTCTCCACTCTGAGTGGCACTGGTGACCATAACCCAGGAGATTCTCAGACCTTGTGAGTAGGAACTACTGTTCTGACTATGGAGCATCCCACAGGCCCATGGCTGGAATTCAGATACTGGAGCTCCTCCTGCTCCGTGTGAGCCTCTGGACTTGGGTTTGCCAGGCTTGCCCTTCCTCCTTCACTGTGCCATCTGATGGACCAGGCAGTCTGTTATCTGGAGAGAAAAATCCATTGCTAGCAGAGGCCCTGGGGCACTGCTTTTCTAGACCCTGGCCAGGCCCAGCTGGCAGGTCTTGAAGGACCTTGAAAAAGAACAGCATTCAGAAGGACTCATGACACAGCCATTGGCCCCAAGGGAAATTGTGGTATTAGGTGTCACCTTCTTAGCCATCTCTGCTCTCCTTACTAGAACACCTTTTCCTCACCCATTAGGTTTGTGTGCTTGTTGTGCTGGCTTTTCTCAAAGGAACATGGATGTAGAAAAAGGGGGGAGATTGTTTTTGTAGTGAGCTGAATGTGCACACATGTTTATGACAGTCCTTTGTGTGAAGTTTCTTCTCATTTCTTGGTTCCTGTCCTGGGTCACACTGAGCAGGTGTCTAAGGCTGAATACAAAGGGAAAGAGTGGAGGCCGGGAACCAGTCAGGCCCTAGGAGGAAGCAACTCTTTGTCCACTTCAGGGACTCCTGAGAAGCCAGGGGACAGCAACATGACTGAGAACAGGCCGGGGTGGGAGTCACACAAGCAAAGGTAGACTCAGACAAGCTCAGTGTTTTCTTCGTGGCTGTAGGGACCAGAAATCACCCCAGAAAATCCATCCTGGGAGTCCTGGGGTTCATTGTCCCTTTCTAGAGACTGTGTGGACCCAAGTCTCAACTGAAGTTTAACACTTTCCAAATCACAGTGGTGACCACAGTGGCAGACAGGTCAGAGCACCACCAGTGTCTCAGCCTCTTCCATTGTGTGGAGGGACCTGCTGAATCCAGTTGTATTATGCTGCCTGGCTGCTTTCCTGCCCCCAGACTGGGGGGACTGGGACACCGCACTTGGCTGTGTGGAATACATATGACAATCCTTGGGTCTCCCCAGATAGGCATGTGCTTGTGTGTTCCCATTGGGCCCCTTTCCAACCCAGATTTCACTAAATCAGTGTTTTCACCGTGTCCTACCTTTCTCTCTCTCTGCACTTAGGATTGGTGTAGAACACATGTAGATTCTTTTCAGCACAGTATAAGAATGTGATATATTGTATATTGGAAAGTATTTACCTTATTTATATACCTGAATGTTCCTATTAAATAAATAAACATATATTAAATTCTAGATTGTGTGTGGTTTTCGATGGGAGAAACCCTTTAAAATTATTTTATGTGTATAGATGTTTTGCCTGCATGTATGTGTGTACCATGCATGGCCTGTTGCCTGCAGAAGCCAAAAGAAGGCATCGGATCCCCCTGAAACTGGAATTACGGATGGTTGTAGACTACTATATGGATGTTGGGAATCAAATCTGGGTTCTTTAGAAGAGTAGCCAGTGCTCTTAAGCTCTGAGCCTTTTCTCTAGTCTCAAGGAGTTGGTTTCTGTGTTTGTTTTAGACAGTCTTAACAGTGTAGCTAGGCTGACATTTTGAATGTAATATCCCCTCACTTCTGCCTCCAAGTGCTAGGGTCACGTATATCACTGTCAGGAAGTGTGTGTGTGTGTGTGTGTGTGCGCGCGCGTGCGTGCGTGCATGCGTGTGTGTGTGTGTGTGTGTGTGTGTGTATGTGTGTGTGTGTGTGTGTGTGTGTGTGTGTATGTGTGTGTGTGTGTGTGTGTGTGTGTGTGTATGTGTGTGTGTGTGTGTGTGTGTGTGTGTGTATGTGTGTGTGTGTGTGTGTGTGTGTGTGTGTATGTGTGTGTGTGTGTGTGTGTGTGTGTGTGTGTGGGTGTGTGTGTATGTGTGTGTGTGTGTATGTGTGTATGTGTGTATGTGTGT